CCCGGTGCTTTCTCACTTTCTTTTCCTTTTTTCTCTCTCTCCAGGGTAAGCACATGCATCCTATGGCAAACAAACAGTGCAAGCTCCTAGGACAGGGAAGAGGAAGCCACTGTCTCCAAACGAAGACCACGGAACACCCTTAAACACAAAATATTCTTTTATTTGTCAACGAAGGCTACACGGGATCACTTCTGGTTTTGTTTTTATGCCTTTTTTTTTCTTTTTCTAGAAGGTATCTACATCTGCATTTATTTACAGCCTTGTTGGTATTTACACAGTCAAGAATACAGTGTTAGAAACATAAAAGTGTTTGAGAAAAAAAACTTCTCAAAATTAGTTCCAGACTTCAGGAAAACTATTTCCACATGGTAAGGCCAGAGTCTCCAGTGTTGGTCATCCAGAGGCAGCTTGATACCAAGTCCTTCCACCGAAGCTGCAGGTTCAGAAGTCCTCAGAACAGGCAGATTTAGGAAAGTGGGATTCTGGTGCCGGGTGACGCCGGGGCCGCTGGGGCACCGCCCGACACCTGCAACTCAGCTTCTGCCGGGGTCGCTGAGCCTGCTCCAGTGCCAGTCCTCCCATGGCAGTCTGCTCTCCGAATGCATCCCATTTTCTTGGCGACCAGGAGGTCGCCCAGCATCGTGCCTTTGGCATTCCAGAGGGGGTAAGAACCACCACGATGGCTCCCCCCAGTTCCCCACACTCAGATCTTCCACATTCACAACGAAACCTGCGACTCACCACTGTCTGGGGTAGTCAACTACACAAGGCTGGTTTTCGAGAATGTAAAGGTTGGAGGAGATAAAGTTTCTCTCCGTCACCTGAGCAATGAGTCTTTAAAATGAGTTGCTGTTTTTGAAAGGTTCAATGAAAGGGCCTCGAACCAGAGTTCTTTTTCCAATCCCTTTCCCCCCCAATAAAATGTAGACAAGCATGTAAACCTAGCTGGGAGTTAAGTGGCTCAAATGGAGGGCTTTGAGTCCCAGTGAGGACCCCAAGGGAAAGGAGAGCCTGCATTCTTTACTGGGGCCCCTTAGGTGGCGGGTCCCCTGACTAAGACCAGGAGCTACCTCCTGGGTTCAGTGGCTGCCTTGAGGAAGGGGAAATAGATTTGACGTTGAGCGTTAAGTGATGAAACCCCAAAGCCAGGATCCCTGCAAAAGCAGCTCATTCCTCCTGACACAAAAAGCACCCCTGCCCTCACCGCGTGGTTGTGGATGGAGAGACTGCACTCTGATTTCACATCAAAAGCCTTGTCTTTGCATAATAGAAATCTCTGCCATCTACAAAGGTGACACTTAAAAGTCACAGCTGAAAGGTCCTTCATTTTTTTTTTTAACTTCTGATCCCTGCTCTGTGTCCATAAAACACGGCCCCATTTTCCTCACCTTCCTTACCTCACTATCATCTTTGCTTCCAGCCCCACCCTACCCTGACAATCCGAAAGCACACTGTTGGCCATGCATACCCCTTCGCAGTTTCTTAGGGACTGTTTCAAATCTCCCATCTCTAGATAGAAGCCAGGCATTGGTATGGTTCTGGGGTTATTCTTGGCCAACTGTTCTGAGATCAGAGACTGAGCAGGGTGTTACCTACCATGGAGGTCTTCTCCCTCCCATGGGTCGTAGGGCTACCCTTCCGTGGTGGGTAAAAAGGAAACCTTGCCTATAAAAAACGAATTTGGGGAATGAACAAAAGCCTTTTAAAGTAGTGGCAGAGGGACTGAGGGGCCAGCTGGAGCCATGGAGGGTAAGAAAGAAGACAGGAACTGTTTTAAGACAAACCTCCTAGGGTTGGAAGCCGACATTCTGCAGAATCAGAAGCCTGGGCCAGTGAGGAGGGTTAGGGTTAGGGGCTGCCTAACTCTAACAAACGGGCAGGTTTGGGTGTGCTCATGCCAGAAGGGCAGCGCCATTGAGGGTGGGATTCCATGCTTGGAGCCCATACGGAGGTACAGGGAAGGCCGGCCTGTGTCTCCCCCTTGCCGTGGGTTTGGGATTGCTGGTCTCAACAGCGGAACTAAGAGGGATGCACCTCCCAGCCCAGACGGAACCCAACTCCCAAGGCCAAGGCCAGAAGCACGAGCTTCAGTACAGCAGCACCGAGGTGAGACTGAGGTGCGGGGATGCCACCAGTACCACCGCGGAGACCCCTGCTCTGAAAGTCTCTCGCCCGGAGGAAGCTGGGCCTTCTCAGTGGTAGGTAGCCCAAGAAAAAGCCATGCCCATTCTCCCCCTATGGGCCTTAAAAGTTCATACTATTTCTCTGGGGATGGGGCTGTGGAGGTGCAAGGGGAGGCTCCCTTGGGCCACATGCCATCTCTGACCTCCGAGGAGGTGTCCCCAGCAGGTTAGGGCTGACTTCAGACACCAGGACAGGACCGATTAACCAGGCCAATGGGTGGGAGCACTTTGCCCAAGGGCCCCTTAGATCAAAAGTATATTTCGAGGGGCACAAATCTCTTTGGAGGAAAAAAACCCAAAAAACAAACATTTCTGATTTTCAGGCTTAACTGTTTTCCATCCTTTCCAAGAATGATCCTGCCTGATGGGGATCCCTGGCCAGCTTGTGCCAAGCACAGGGGGCATGAGGAGCACTGGGCCTAACTCAGCGGAGCTCTGGGTTCAGAGGCGACGGGCAACCATGGACAAACAGGCCGAGGCACACTGTTGCGAAGTGTGACTTTTTTTTTTTTTTTTTTTGAAACCAGAAGAGCACTTAGCGAAACTCATCCTCTCATCCTAGTGGGATGACGTAAGGCGAAATCTCCTCTCCCCGAGCAGCTTTGGACGCCTCCCTCTGCCACACAGAGCCCCAACTGCACGTTGCTCCGATGCTCATGCAGGAAGAGACCTGCTTGGTTTCGTTAACTCGTGTCATATCCTGAAGACTCTGTGAGTAAGGCTATAAAGGTGCCATGAGCTTATCAGTCCAACAAGGTTTCCACGGGGAGTAGCTCAGACTCAGAACTAATTTTCCACACTTAATGTAAATGTAACCCATAAAAGTCCCATTTTCTAAGGAGCCCAGCTCAAAAGGGAGCAGTTGGCATCCCCTCCTGTCTCCCAGAGCCTCCCGTGAGAAGTAATGACAGTGGTGACTAGGCAGGTGAACCAGGAATGGGCTCCTCAAACAAGGAGCCCCCAGTTTTGGCTGCTCCAGACCCCTGCCCTCGCTGTTTCCCTGGGCCTGCTGGCTCTGCTGCTCCCTGGGCACGCCCCCTGGTGTGGGCTGCACGTGCTCCCGAGAGCACTCCAGCGTCCTCCTGATGCCACAGGCATGGGTCTTCAAGGAGCAATGCTGGCCTGGCCAGCTGGATCTGTGGGCACTGGCCCCAGACACTGGCAGGCCACACCGTTAGCTCTTCCCTCTTCTCTCCTTATCTGTAAAAAGAAATAATAAAACGCTGGCTGGACTTCTCTAGAGGGGAAGTTGTTTTGGAAGAACTTCACAGAAGGAATTTCCCAAAAGCCCACTCTGCTGCAAGCCAGCTCTAGTGATTAGCGTGTATGTGGGAAGCAGAAGAGACTTCAGGAGCTGGCTAGAAGGATGCTTGGCTCGCGCTTCCTCTCTTTGGCTGGCTTTTTTCTTAAGCATCTTTCCGGAATCGAGGGCTATCAAGCACCTCTCTGCACATTCCTACATCTCAGTGTGGCCGCTGAGCAGGGGAAGGAAATACCCAGTTGTGGGGAGAGGGCTTCGCCTTGGAAGGCAGGCTGGCACCCTTTGCCACCACTACCATCTTTTTTGCCACAGTGGGGTTCCCCTCCCGGGACATGGTGCCCACATGGAGCGCTTGCTGTCAGTGCTGGTTCTCACGTCTGGCTTTGGGAGAGAGGAGGAGATGAAGAAGGAACATCGTGGAGAGTCGGACAATTACAGACAGACATCCTGGGTGCTCCTCCCTCTCGGGGCAGATGAAGTGCTTAGCCCCAGGATGCTATGTCACCAGACTGAGGAAAAGGACCTGGGAGACACTTTCTTTATGCCGGTTTGAGGTGGCACCAACAATTACATGGGATTTGCAGAAGGGGTGGGGGTTCCATTAAGCATCAAAATATAAAGCTTGGACAGGAGTGTGGGGAAGCTTGAAAAATGAAATTCCCCGGAGTAAGAAGGAGCCCTCTGCGGTCCTCCAGAGGCACAGAACACAGTGAATAAAAACCCACGCTGGTCTGCGGAAGCCTGGCCTAGGAGCCTCCGGTTCTCCAGAGCTTCCTCCCAGGCCCCCTGGCAAGGGGTGTTGTACTGGCCTTTTGCTCTCTGCACCCCTTACTCCTGCCCGGCCCCCAGTCAAAGCAGAAAGGGTTGCACATGAGACGAGTCAGCACAGACACGCGTGTCTCACATCACACTGGGCACCTACGGACAAACAAAGGACACACCCAGCAGGTGCATCTCAAGAGAGGAGAAACATACCTCAAACAACAAGGAAAATCCCCCCCGGAAAGAGGGAACAAAAGACAATGAAGTTCTCATTGTGATCACACGACAGAAAAAAAATACCTTCCATTCTTTGCAAAAAATGTGTGAAGGCCAAATTTGTGTTTTTCTTTTCTTAAAAAAAAGGATGTTGCATGAATTACAATGCAACCAGTATCTTTTTGTTTCTTTTCTGCACTTGTTAAAAAAAGTTTTGTTTTTTGTTTTTTTTTTTGTTTGTTTTGTTTTTGTTTTTTGTTTTTTTGTTTTTTGTTTTTTTTTAGTACAACACAGTCAGGTATGCGGCCACAAAAGAGTAGCTGTCTTTGGCAAGAAGTCCAGGCCTTGGCCCTCTCTGTCACCTCCGGCCCATCTCGCTCTGTCTCATGAAGTGGATGTTGTTGGCGCTGTCTGACAGTTCTGGGTACTGCTCAACAGAGATGACGAAGAAGCCATCGTAGCCTTGCACCCGCCCTGTGTTCAGCACCTGCTGCTTCTCCCCCTCTGTCCAGGCCCGCAGGCCTTCCTCCCCTTCCCGCAGTCTCTGCTGCTCACGGGCCCAAGCCTGGCGCACAGCTCTCTGCCGGGCCAGCTCCAACACCCGCGCCTTCTCCTCATCCAGCGTCGTCCCGTAGCGGGTGTTCAAGCACAGTGCCCCGTACTGGAGCTGGATGTCGGTGTAGCGTCTAGTCCTGCCACTGAGCATCGTGTTGATCTGGGACACGGTGACGTTGACACCATTCTCCAGGGTTCGCCGCCCCCCACTGAGGCCCAGGATGGCCAGGTCACCTTCGGAAGGCCCTGGTTTCACAAAGTAGTGGGTGTCCACCCCGTCGATGGTGAAGTGCAGGTTCTCTAGGTAGTGGGCGTTGTTCAAGATGGCAGCAACCCTCCGCCCATCCTCGTTGGCCACGCTGATGATGTCTGTGGCCACCCGGCCGTCCTTTAAGGCAAACTTGACCCCTTTGCCGAAGACTGAGCCGCTGGATGCGAACTTCTTTGTCTCCAGGGTCTGCTGGCAGCCGGTGATCGTGGAGCCGTAGAGCTGGTCGAAGCGTTCTAGGGTGACGAAAGCCTTGAGCTGCTTCTGTACTTCACACTGCACCCCGAGGATAGACTGATGGGGGAGGAGAGGGAGACAGAGATAAGACAAAGCAGATAAAGCCTTAAGAATGACCTTAAATAACTAAGCCAAATTACCCGTATTGACTCACCTGTAGCACCCAGCTGCCCTGCTGAGCCCCAGAACACCCAGCTGTCCTTCACCCCCACCCCCGTCCCGCCGTTCAGAAACTGCCCAGGGAATATCTACTCAGTGCAGCCCCTGTCGGAGTGCTGGAGACACAGAAATGAATCCGACTCATCCTGGCTCTTGAAGAACTCATTGTCTAGTGGGAGAAGACAGGACAGTGATAATCGCAATCAAGCGTGATAACAGGTGGTCTCAGAGACGGAGAAAATGGACATTTGTGGATTCTTGAGCTAAACAATTACTGTCCACTGTCCCGTGGACCTTGACAATAACTTTCTATAGTAGGTACCGTTATTAGTCTGACTTTGCTTCTGGGGAAATGAAGGTTCAAAGAGGTGGCAACTGGCCCACAGTCGTATAACTAATAACAAACCAACATTAGAACCCAGGTCTGCTGATTCTCGAGGAGAGAAGGCGCAAACCGCACTCATGAGCATCTGAGCCCAGAGGGGTGGAGGTAGGGCTCATGCTGGAACTGGGGTGTGGAGGACGAGGCGGTTGCCACGAGAGGGAGGCAGAGTGCACCCTCTGAGAGAAGGCAGATGAGATGGAAGGTCAGGGCTGATGGAAACCCTTGCCCTGCTTTTGTCCCCAGTGTTTACATGTGACTTTTGGAGAGTGCTTCTGTCTCACAGAACTTCGAGGGCTCCTCGGGTACCCTGTCCATCGTGTCCTGGGGGGCAGCATGGCATAGCATCTACCTGTCCCTGGAATGGGTAGGGAGATGGGGGAAGCCGGGTCCAAGAAGGCGCCAGGGTCTCAGCAACTCAGGGAAAGGGCTTCAGAAACAGGCCCATCGGCTTCTCGCTGAAATGAAGTCCTCTTGATAATTAATAGAACCCTGTCTGTGAACAATTATTTCCTCGAGTTTCACCAAAGCTAGAGTGCTCAACAACAAAGATCTCCAGACGCTTGCCAAGGGCAGAAATCAATAATTCATTGACAGGCGAGGTTGGCAAACAGGCAGTCGTTGACTGGGGCTCCGTGGAGCGGAGAGGGAGCCTGGCAGGGGAGGAGGAGGTGCACTGCTGGAATCAGCCCTGGGGCGGCAATGGGGAGCCTACGGGGGACAGGGCTTGGGGGCGGGGGGTGC